TATTCCTTGGTAAAAGAGTAGCCTAAGAGTTGGCGGTGGGTGGTGATGACAAGCTGCCTCTAGTCTTACACTGCTAATATAGGGACGGCTAGCGCAGATAGCCCTCGTGTAGCTTTGCGCGAAATTCAAAATAAACAAAACAAACAAACAAGCACCTCGCGCTTGTGGCTATTTTTTACCTGTCTGATGTCACGTGATGTGCAGGTGCTTCGGGCATTGTATTAAATGATACTGTTATTTTTTTGTATGCATAATTTTTTTCTGAAGTGTGTCACCCATCAGATTTGAATGTGGATTTAAAGGATAATAGGAAAATTTTTAACTGTATTATTAAAAGCTTATTAGTGAACAAGTTCGGTACAAAGAGTTTTAGTCACAAAGAAAGCATCATCGGAAATGGTAGACCTATGCCAGATCTAAGCCTGACTGGAAAAACAAAGCAGTGTGTTCGAAAATTCAATTTAAACCAATATGACAGGACATCTTGGTTAACAGTGACTTAAGGACATGGAACTCAAATACGCTTGAAAATTCCTCCAGTCATATATTTTCAACTCTAGGCCTAGCTAGATTTGAAAATCACAGATTGAATTCCAACTAAATAGCCAATATAAAATAAATGTGCAAATGCACAATGAAAAGGTAAAGAGGAATAGAAACATTTTAAAAAGATTAATCGACGTAATATGCTATTTGGGTGAACAAGTATTAACATTTAGGGGTCATGATAAATCACTAGAGTCTGCTAACCGAGGCAATTATGTGGAATTGGTAAATTTGTGCAAGAAATATGATCCATTATTGAAATTATACATAGAGAAATCGAGTGTTTGTTTCTGATCTGTCAAATAGAATCCAGAATGACCTCATTAATTGTGTGTGGGATGTATTGTTGAATAAAATTAAAAGCGAAATAAGTGATTCTCCGTTTGTGGCTCTTATCTTGGATGAAACTATCGACGCAAGAACCATTTCTCAGCTTTCTAGTGTTGAGCGATATGTGACTAAAGATGGTGAAATTTGCAACAGATTTCTGGGGTTTAAAAGTGTTAGTGCAGATCGAATAGTTGTAGGTATATCCAAGATAGTGTCTAATTTAGTTGATGAATTAAATATTGGGTCAAACTTTGTTGCGCAAACCTATGATAGGGCAAGCGTGATGTCCAGTTTCTTGTTGAATATATTTGCCAGTATTTTTTCATATACAAATGTTATATTTGTTCTACAGAATAGGATATTTGACATATTCTACTTTATGAATAATGTAAATGAAATGGTGACTATTCTACATGAAAAAAGAGACGATTTCGATTAATTTTGGGCAGCAATCGATGGATTATACCCTGCCCTCCCCCTCCCCCTACTAAGCGAATAAGAAATGATCCTGGAGAAGACATTAAAATAACATATAGAAAGTTATTTTATGAAATTTTGGATGTAATTTGTGGCCAAATTGAAATTAGGTTTCAAAGCTTAAAAAACATAGCATTTCTTGAGCTTCTTAACACTAAAAAACAGAAAGAGAACAAAAAAAAAATTCCTGAATTAGCATTCAAATCATTGCAGGATAATTATGGAGAATACTTTGATATTCAATTTTCGGTTTTATACGCTGATGCTAATTTGAAAGGAAAACCAGTGAATGAATTACTTTATTGTTTGCTAAATGCCAAGTTAGATGCAGCCCTGCAACAACTTACAAAGTTGTGTGAGTTAACCTTGACTCTTCCAGCCACTAGTGCCTCAGTTGAGCACTCTTTCTCTCATTTGAAAAGTATACACAGCTACACCAGAAATGCGCAAAGACAAGAAAGACTTGCAAGTTTAGTGTTAATCACGATTGAGAAAAAGCTTCTTAAGGAAATAAAGACTGATAGTTTCTATGAAGATGTAATAAATTTATTCAATCAAAAGGAAAGGAGGGTGGAATTAACATATAAATAAAGTAAATATATCTTGTTTTTATCTTTAATTGGAAGAACTTAATCTTAAACATGATTAATGACTACAAGTAATTAATTTTATCTTTATTGGCCATCCTGTACATATTTTTTTCTTTGATTTTATAACCCACCTTACATACTTTTGCTTATATACATCAGGACAAATCATCGCACGCTCCTGGGTATAATAGCATCATAAATGGTCATAAAAGAAAATGTTCTCCTAAATTTCACTTTCTAACTAAGGATACCTAGTTTTTTTCTAATATGGCAAGTAAATGTGCCTCAATTTCTTGCTCGGGCACTTCTAAATTTGTGGCTAACCTTAGAAACCACCCAAATTTCTAGTTCTGATGATTTGAAGTCTGCATATAACACATAATAAGTTGTCATGGTTTGTTAATGTTTGTGACTTTTTCAAATTATTAATGTTTAAACTGAAGTTTTGCATATGCTAACCTATTATTAATAATCACAAGGTTTTTAGCACGATATTAAACTTATTTGTAATCCAAATAGTTAAATCTTTGTAAAAAAACAACAAAAAAAACATTTATTAAAGGTTGAACTATAGATAGAATAAAGAAATTCACTGTTTCAATGTTAATTTTGTTTTCCAGATCATTGGATTATGTATCGCTAGATCGGTAGGACGATACAAGCGAGCTCCTTTTTGCATTAATAATGAGGTGAGGGACTTGGTATTATATATGTTATATTATCAGTTATTTATGTAAGAATAACAAAAACAAAATGCTACAAATATATCTTTGGATGACCATATGAGTGCTTATTTTTAAACATCTACCTATTATTATTGAAGCCGTACAAGATTTAGAAGCAAATAACATGTTGCTGAACAATTCAAACAAAATATAAATTTTGTAAATCGCAAAGACACACCAAGTCTGTGGTGTGTGACTTAGTATAGAGATAGTATTATTTAATATCATAGATGAATCATGCCGCTTTTCCAATAGTATGTGCTTACTTACATAAGTTTGAAAAGCAAGGATTAATACACAAATCCCAGATTTGGAAGAGGTGAAATCAAGCTAGCTCATCGTGCTAATTGATACTAACAAGTTGACGGCTAGAGCGAGTGTCACCTGGGCGGTGACCAGATTTGATACTTGATATGGCGACTGCAGGTCGGGGCAATAGGTCAGGTCTAAACGGAGCACACCTTGTTATAGCGGGTTATCCGGACTGCACGGCGCTGAAGCATCTCACACGGGGAACACACTGTACAGCTGTGCCACGAGCTCTCTTTGAGTCGAGCCGACCCGCTCTGACCAGAGGGGCTTGTCACGTCTTGGAATTGCAAGACGCAAAATTCGTTTCGCTCGTATCACGGTGGGTCTGTGTGGCAACAGTCGCCGCTTAGAACGCGTTAGAGGTAGAAACAGCTGGAAGCTAGAGCGTCAAGTGAACTACCTGTTCTGTTGAAGTAATGCAAAATTATTTTGACGTTCGTAATTCACTGCTGTGTGGGAATTACTCTGCTGAAATGACTCTTTTAGAATGACTATGTAGTGTAATCAAGCTTGATCAGAGTCACTGACTTGAGGCAGCGCGAGAAAAAAATAGATGTTTACTAAACGATTTCTGATCATTGTGGTTGTTCAAGCACAAGAAGATATACAGAAATGTAGAAATATTTTTATATCTTAGTATTCACTGTCACTATGGGTAAGGTTTAAGTAATAACAAAAAATCCGCTTGAGCTTTATATGCTTATTAGTATCTAATAAGGTTTTTGTAACTTGTGTTCCTTACTTTTATAGTTAACAAGTTCAAATCGTCACTTCAAATCTTGCAAATAGCAAGTGTTTAAGTAATGTCTATTTTAAAAATGTTCAGACTTCGTATCACAAAGTTACCATAAGGAGCTTATAGCTGATGTAAGTTGTTTGTAAAAACATATTTTTATGGGCAACTATTTCTAAAAAGATACCAGGAAAAGTTTGTGTTTTTCATTGAGAATTTACTAGGCACTTTAAGCCCTACATTTCTCCCGGTTACTTTGAATTACTAAACATTTATTTATAATTCAGAAAAGTACAAATGTTGTTAAATATCGATTAATAAATTTGTTTTATTTCTTAGATTATGTAGTTCTTCGTCAATTCGAAATAATGTTTTAAAATCAATTCAAAAATAACCAAATACAGCATACTGAGCGATCATTGGTAAAAAACGAACTTACTTGAGATAACCGTAATAATATGTTTTGTATAAGGAATGGTCAAAAAATGCTTGTTTATTTGTTTGTTTTGAATTTCGCGCAAAGCTACACGAGGGCTATCTGCGCTAGCCGTCCATAATTTAACAGTGTAAGACTAGAGGGAAGGCAGCTAGTCATCACCACCCACCGCCAACTCTTGGGCTACTCTTTTACCAACGAATAGTGGGATTGACCGTCACATTATAACGCCCCCACGGCTGAAAGGGCGAGCATGTTTGGTGGGATGGGGATGCGAGTCGAGCGTCCTAACCACCTGGCCATGCCGGGTCCAAAAAATGCAGTATAATAGAAATGTACAGTGACGATGAACAACACAACCACAGAAGTTTCTCGACGAGATATTAGAATTGATTGTCTAACATGAAATCATTATCTCCCACACCCACCTGTGTTAGTTCACAGCTTCTGGACTTATTACTGCAATATTACAATCCAACCTTGAAATTATTATCCCCCACATTCCCCTTGGTTTGTTCTGTTCCATACTTATCATTATAACAGTACGATCTAAAGATGAGTATACTGTTGTAAAAAACACAATTATAGAGGACGACGTTTCGAAACTCTTCCGTATTTCATCTTCAAAGAATTGCGATCCACCATTGAAATCATTACCCCCCCCCACAACAAACTTGGTTGGTTTACAGCTTCTTGATTTATTATTACAACATTGCATTCAATGTTAAAATCATTATCCACCACACCTATCAATGTTGGTTCACAATTTTTTCACTTATTAGCATAATACTATGATCCAACGTTGAAATATCTATCCCTCATAGCAACATTGGTGGTTTAAAAAATTCTGAATTTATTTATACAACAATACATCCAACGTTGAAATCATTATCTCCAAAACCCACATTAGTTAGCTCACAGTTCCTGAACTTATTATTATTACGATCCATTGTTGAAATCCTTATATCTCTCACCCACCATGGTTAGTTCATAAACTATTGTTTATTTATTGTTACAAAATTATTATCCAACCATGAAATCATTATTCCCCACAATAACCTTGATTGACTCACAGTTTCAAGACTTATTATAAGTAAACTAAGATCCAACGTTGACATAATTATTCCAATACACACCTTGGCTGGTTCAGAACTTCTGGACTTATTATTATAACATTATGATCCAACGTTGAAATGATTACCCCCCCCCCACAACAACTGTGGTTGGTTCAAAGTTTCTGGACTTATTATTATGACATTACATTCCAACATTGAAATTATTATCCCAACACTGGTTACCATAATACATAAACTTGTGTTTAACAAAATAAGGGTTTGGTCATAACAAACTGTCGGACCTTTACGGCTTTCAAATTCAGGCCAACACTAAAATCATTATTCTCCACACCCACGTTCCACAAAATCGGTGTCTAAGACAGATTTGTTTCCATGGAAAAAAAAAAGTCCATCATCTATACTTTTCCTCAACAAGATTGGTGTCTAAAAAAATTATTTATGTGTGAAAAATGTCCATCAGCTATACAATCCTCAAAAACAGAGGTGTTTACAACAGAGTTTTTTTTTCTATGAAAAAAACTGTCCACTAGCGATACTTATCTTTTAATGGGTCAGTCTTTAAGTCAGATATTTTTTTCTGTGGAAGAAAATACTCATCAGCTTTGCTAATTCTCCACAAGAATGATGTCTAGAATGTTTTATTTCCATAGGAAGAATTCCATCTGCTATACTTATCCTCAACAAGATCAGTGTCTAAGACAGCGTTTTCTCTATGGAGAATATGTCCATCAATTATATCAATCCTTCACATGAGCAGTCTGAGGCAGTTATTTCCTTGGAAGAAACGCCCAAGAACTATACTAATTCTCCACAAGATTAGTATCTAAGTCAGTTAATTCCGTGGAATTACTATCCTTCAGCTACACTAAATATTCTCAAGATCGGATCAAATATAAAATTATTTCTCTGGAGAAAAACAAAATGTCAATCAGTTATACTAATTCTCCACTAATAAGGAGTTACTGTCGTGGGAAAGACGTCCATCAGCTAATTACTTTTCACAAGGTCGACGTCTATAACAGATTTCTTTCTGTGGAAAAAAATATCCATCAGTTACAATTATCTTCCAGAAGATCCTTGATTCTTGGAACAAATGCCCATCACTTATGCCAATCCTCCATAAGATCCGTGTTTAAGAAAGAGTTGTTGTTGTTTTTTTCTGTGGAAAAAATGTCCATCAGCTATACTAATCCTCCACAAAAGTTAATTCTACGGAAAAAATTTTCAACTGCTATGCTAGTTCTCCGCGTGATCAGTATATAAAACATAGTTAATTCTGTGGGGAAAAATCTGATTAATCATATTAATCTTACACAAGATCGGTGTCTAAAAAAAAAGTTATTTCCATTGCAGAAGTGTCTATCAACTATCCACAAGATTGTTGTCTAAGAATAGTTATTTCCGTGGAAAATATGTTCATCAGCTGTACTAATTCTCCACATGATTGGTTTTTAAAACATATTAATTTCGCTGGGGGTAATGTCCATTAGTTTTACTAATCTTCCAGAAATCGGTGTATAAGAAAAAAATATTTCCGTGGAAACATTATTTATTATATATACTAATCCTGCATAAGATCGGTGTCTAACAAAAAGGAATTTCCGTGGAAAGAATGTCCATCAGCTACACTAATCCTTTATAAGATCAGTATATAAGAAAGAGTTATTTCTGTTGAGAAAATGTTCGGCAGCTATATTTATCCTCCAAAAGATTAGTGTCTAAAACAGAGATCTTTCTGTGTAAAAGTGCCTATCACCTATACTTATCCTCCACCAGATCAATGTCTAAGATATCTAAGGGGGTTTGAGTCCATTTTACTACACCATATAGTAACCTAAATTAATTTAGGCATGTGAATTATGTTATGATATTTCGTCAAATTTATTATTCGATATTATAAGCGACCAACTGTTTAATGATTAGATAAATATATTTTACAATTTCTTTTTTCAATTTCACCTATGATGTAAAGGAAGAGAAATCCTAACATATGTATCCAATGTCATAAACAGATTTCTTTAGGTAGAAAAAAAAGTTCATCAGCTATACCAATTCTCCTCATGACAGAGTTCTTTCTGTGGGAAAAAAAATTTCCTCACGTATACTAATTCTCCATGAAAAGAAATATCCTTCAGCTATTACTAATACTCCACAAAATCGGTATCTAAGTAAGAGTTATTTCAGTGGGAAAAATGTCCTTCAATTTTAGTAGTTCTCCACAAGATCACTGTCTAAGACCGATTTCTTTCTGTGGAAATAAGTGTCCACCACCTATACTAATCCTCTACCAGATTAGTGTCAAAAACAATTATTTACGTTAAAAGCTGTCCGACCACTATACTTATACTCCATATGATCGGTTTCTAAGACAGAGTTATTTCATTGGAAACAATCTCCATCAACTATA